TCACAGATTTATACTATTAATGTGAGTTCTGTCTCTTGCTTTACCTAAGAGGTAAGGACCTCATAGGTCAGTCTTCTAGTAATTGGACTTACTTTTTCCCATTAGATTAGAAATACAGATTAAACTATTTTACTAGTTAACAAACATTTGTCACCTACATATCTTATATTTTTCTTGTGAGTCTTCAATTTCTTGACAAAATATTTAATAACATGCAAACTAATATATACATTAGAAAGATATTTTGAAACTATTCTATAGATCTACTTATGTATTCAGTTTCTTACAGCAAAATGACTGCACACACAAATTCTTATCACCATTTCTTAAACTGATAACTCAATATCAAAAGTCTTTTCTTGTCAGTGATCTGAAAAAACACATCTTATGATCTACTTGAAGACACACTCAGCCTCAGTCTCCAGCACTGAAAGAGGAGATTCTTGTACACGCACAAACACATACTGCTGCTGCCATCTTTTGGTACAATACAGTTTCCCAATTCTTTCTAATGTTTCTGCAAATGAAAAGTCCTCCCAAGATGAAACAACTTGTTAATATTAATAAAAGCAGAATAGATGATGTAAGCAGATGGCTAAAATGTAGTACAAATAAAATTCCAGCATTAGTTTTTACCAGTACATGTGATTAGCTTCCTCAGTAATGCTGAACACTTACCATGTAACAATATTTACAGCCCAAAATTAAGTGTTTTATAAACAAAGCACAAATTAATTCTCTTCAAGCTTACATAAGGTAGAGTTATTATTCCCATTTTATGAACATGGAAGCAGAATAAAAGAGTTTAAGTAGTTTGCCAAGGTTTTACAGCTGGTAAATGGCAGATCTAAATTCAGGAGCTGATTCCAATGGTCTTCCTTTTTGATTATTATGCTGTAATACTTCAATAATACACATTAAGTAAATTTTTAAACTATTTAGAATATTAAGGCTTAGTTTAGTGGAACAGAGAGATACTAGAATTATTTTTTGGTTCTTTTACTTTAGTGCAATACAAGTAGATATTTATAAAGAAAACATAAAAACACAAAAAATAAATTCCATAAAAGTTAAGATATTGCTTGTGTGATATGAGAAATGATTACTTTTAAAAGAAAGTAAGCCAACAATTCAGAGTAAATATGAAGTAAAAGAGTGTGTGTGTGTGTGCGTGTGTGTGTGTGTCCATTCTTCCTGGACTTGTGTATTGGCCCCACCATTTATTAGATACATGTCTTTAGATAGATTTTTTTAACCTTTTTCATCTAACATGGAGAAATCGCACCTGCTCCATAGGCTTGTCATGTGAATTTAAGGACACTGAAGCAAACATATGTCAAGGTACATCCCCAGTCACTTTTTGGGGCTCACCTCATCCACATGGAGTAGGTCCCAAACAGCTATAATTTTATTACGTATTCTTTACCTTTGCCCATCTGGCTCAAAGATGCCTGAGCTTTGACTCAACTAGATTAGTCACAAAGCCTTTTGTGCAATTTAGAATAAGGAATGAACAAGATCATTTTGCTATATAATAAACAGAAGAGATATAAATCTTCAGAACACTATCAATGAATTGTCTGAAGAACTCAAGAAAACAATCCCACTTACAACAGAATCAAAAATAAATAAAATAGGAATAAATTTAACCAAAACAGTGAAAAATCTGTACAATGAAAACCATAAAATATTGATGACAGAACTGAACAATACATTTTCAGATGGAAAAACACCCTAGGTTCGCGGGTTTAGAGAATATTAAGATGTCTGTACTACCCAAGCAATTCACAGATCCAAGGAAATCATTATGAATTATAACATTTTTCACAGGAATAGAAAATCAATCCTAAGAATTGTATAGAACCACAAAAGACTCCAAATAACCGAGGCAATCTAAAGCAAAAGAATGAAGCTACATTACACTGTCCGACTTCAAAATATACTACTACCAAGCTACAGTCATCAAAATAGCACAATTCTGGCAGAAACATGCAGACCAGTGCAAAAGATCAGATATCTCAAAATTACTACCCACACATCTACAATGCGTAAGTGATTTTCAACAAAAATGTGCCAAGAATACATTGGAGAAAGACACTCTTCAATAAGTGGTAGTGGAGAAATTGGATATCCCATTTAGAATGAAACTGAACTCTAGCTTCACTTCAGATACAAAAATCAACTTGAAAGAGATCATGGGTAAAACCTAAATCTACCCACTGACTAGAAGAAAACAGGGAAAAATCTTGACAAAAATCTCAAGAACGGGGCCAGGGATTTAGCTCAGTGGCCTAAGCACCTGCCTGGCAAACGCAAGGTTGTGAGTTGCATTCCCAGTACCAAAATAAAAGTCTCAGGAGTGATTTCTTGGCTACCACCAGGAGAGTACAGGCAACAAAAGCAAAATCAGATTCTGAGGGTTACATCAAACTAAAAACCTTTTGCACAACAAAGGAAACAACAGAGTGAAAAGATAACCACAGAATGGAAAGAAATATTTGCAAACCACAAATCTGAGACAAAGTTAAAATCCAAAATACCTAAGGAATTCAAATCACACAACAGTAAAAATATAACCCAATTAAAAACAAGTAAAGGATCTGAGTAGACACTTCTCCAGAAATGACACATAAATGGTCAACAGGTATGTGGAAAAATGCTCAACATCATAATCATCAGGGAAATGCAATTAAAACCACAATGAAGTATTACTGTCAGAATGACTACTTTCAAAAAGATAAAAGATAACAAGTATTGGAGAATAGGAAATGCTTGTAACAGCAAAGGTGGGATTATGAATTAGCACCACCATTACAGAAAACAGTACAGAGGGTCCTCAAAAATCTTAAACACAGAACCACCTAGTTAAGCAGCAATCTCATTTCTGGATTAAATGTCCAAGGCAAGTGGAACGAGTGTGTCAGAAAGGTAACTGCCCTCCCACACTCACTGTAGCACTATAGCTCTATCTTGCTTAACATACCACGTTTCCAAAAACATACAAAAGCCAGTCTTGCATCATACAGCTACTCCGTTCAGTTTTATGTACCAAAGTTCTCCACCAGATCTGATTAGCAGTATACACTAGACCACTACATAAAATAGTTTAAGACCAATTGGAATTAAGGCATTGCATTATTTCCTTAATATATAGAAAGTAATATTTTTGAAACAAAACTATCAAATTTAATAACCCTGTATTGATATTTTGACCTAAGGTATAAAAAACATACACAAATACATTCTAGTCTATCATTCTGTTAATAAAATATGGGGGGTTTTGCTATGCACACTATCTAATCTTTGGTGAACATACTTTTCTCTCAATCAACTTTCAATTATAGTTCATATTTGCATGAAAATAGTACCACAAACATTGAGATAATATTTGTGGCATCTAAAAAAAATCCTGGAGTCCATTGGGAACTTTGTTCTCATAAATTACATTGAATAAAGTATACCAATAACCTTTTTAAACAGGTGGGAGCCTGACCACACTGCCCAGGCTGGCTCCTAACTCCTGGGTTCACGTGAACCTCCTGCCTGAACATTCGAAGAAGTAGGTGGGATGGCAGGTGCAGGCCACCACACCAGGCTCACCCCACCATGCAGCTACAGCTTCCAAAACAAAATCTTACAAACACTAGGGGGTGCTCCAATGCAATGCTACTTGGTAGCCGGCTTTTCAACTGAAAATAATTTTCTCCTCCAAGGTAAATTAAGACAATCTTCAGCTAATTTTTGCTTTCAAACTAATGTACAGAAGGAACTGAAAGCAAAATTCCATTCTTCTAGAAGACATAACAAAACTTAGAAATCATTTCTGTTATTCAGTTGTTACATATTTTATACTGTATGTTGATAGAATGAAAAATAGGCATATAAGTATAAAAATGGTCCTTGCCTATAAAGAAAATTCAATGCTTAGATGGTTAAGAGAAGGTAAATATTACCATTTATAGGCTTAAGTTTAAGAGAAATTGTAAAATGAATTTGGTAAAAGACATGAAGCTAACTGTAAGTATTAAAGTATGGCCTAGCTATTTTTTAAAGACAATTTGAAAGTTGCTATTTAAACAAGAAATTTTTTAAAAATCACCATAACATTTTAATTGCTATTTTAAAACTCTTTTTAAGCCAACAGTCAAAGAAACTGGGGGAGGGGACATTAAATTCTTCAATCACAACAGAAATAATGAAAAGAAAAAACTAAGTCTTTTAATATTCAGAACAGAAATCATTTTAAATCTTCATAAAGATTTTATGTTTTTTTTTTTAAATTCATATCTACCAGTCAGAAGTTCAGCTAGAAATACCTGAAATTTTCAAAACTGAAAACTTTGTGTGTTGCATTGGGTAATCCAGGAAAGTTCTCTGGATATGAGTTCCCAATGGCATTAAATGATACTAAATAACAAAGTTGATAGTCAATAAAATACACTGCTGTAGATTTCAAGAAAGTGGTTATCAACTTGAGACTTTATAAATGCTAATAACGTATACTTCCTTTAAAACAATTACAGGGGAAGAAACAGAGCACTGTGTATGGTTCTAAAACTTACACAGATTTTTCTAATTCTTTCAAACGTGTGCACACTCACTACTCATATGTAACAATCCATCCTCTAGCAGGGAGAACCTGGCTTTACTCTCTTCTGCCTTTCCCTGATGCATTACCAAGGGCCCCAACAGAAAAGTATGACCCTCTGATCACAGGTTACAGGCAAAGCTTTAGGCCTTCTTTGCAAGTATCAAGAGCACTGCTACCAGCATTGTACTGTGGGATGCTAACGTAACTCTATCTGGATCCTAGCTTCTCACTAATATTTATAGCTTGTCCATAAATCTGAAAAGCAGAGAGACTATGTAAAATGAAAACAGAGTAAAAATGTTAAACTACTTACCAACACTAACTTTTACCTGTTAATATAATGTTTCATAAAAATCTAACAATTGTGAGACTTTAATATTTTATTCAAATAACAACTTAAGGCAAATACCTGCTTTCCATGATTTCTGAATCCTGCTGCAAACTCATAGTCTCTGTTGTAATTTCCACCTTCCGCACACTTCCAAAGAAATCAGTTATCAGGACATTTTTAGGATCCCTCTTAAAAAGATCAGTGCGATGCCCAGGGGTAGACACACAGAGACTCTTGGGACACACTTGAAACTGAAAAAAAAGAAAAACAAATAAAAAGCAGAAAATAAATTTTTAAGAAAAACAACAAATAAATGCACAGATGAATACGTGCACGTATAACTTACTAAATCCAATGACCATGTAGTAGACTGTAACATATTTTAAAAGCTCTGGTTACTAGTTCTACAGGTTAAAGTTTCATTCCCACTGTAATATTTGACATCCTAAGAAAACTATACAGACATGACAACAGTGATAAAGGGAAAGCTGGCCAAAGTGGGAGAAAATTCACTTCCTTGAATCATTTACTACAAAGGATAAACCCTTCAATCTACGGAGAACTCACACTCAACGTGACAACAGAATCGCTTTTCTGTTCCCAGTATCCTTCTCAGTATGGTACTCTACTGCAGTAGTTTCCAAACGTTTATTAAACACAACGCTTGATTCAAACTTAAAATTCAAATGACAAGGTAGCCAGATATGTCAGAGTCGAACGGAGCTTTTTTGGACTGCGGGAAGGGGAAACAGAGTCCCCACCACATGGGCCCCTGCTCTAGCTGTGAAATGATGTACCTTTCACGAGCCAACCAGCTCTCCTACATTATCCACCAAAAAAAAAAAAAAAAAAAAAAAGACATCTCCACTCCAGTACTCCTAAACATAGTGTGAAAAATATGACTTCACCACTTATAAAAATGTCATCATAATTTCTGTGTTAATCTTAACCCTGGTATTTCTCATCAGTAAGTGACCACCCTGAAAAGCACAGGGTGCTGGTACACGCAGCGCACACCGCTACCTAACAACGCTGGTGTAAGATCAACAAGACATGGCCCCGTTCCTCGGAGGACCCTAAGTCCAGTTAGAGATGAGCGAACATAACGTGGTAGAAAAAAGGATGGCAGGCTCTGCACCTGAAAAGGTAAGCTTGAAGTTTAACACTGAGAAAAAAGACAGCAGAGGACTTTGGCGATTTTTTTTTTTTTAAAGAAAAGCAGGATTTATGGATGGAAAATAACATTTCTAGGGGCTGGGGATTTAGCTCAGTGGCATAAGCGCCTGCCTTGTGAGCAGGCAGTCGTGAGTTCAATCCCCGGTACCGATAAAAAGGAAAAAGACAAAAAAAAAAAAAAAAAGAAAGAAAAGAAAATAACATTTCTAATAAACAAGCAGCTGAAAGGGGTAAACAGCCTTATTTTCTGTAGCATGGGCTACAGAATAGACACTGGCCTCCCCGGAGGGTCAGGCGGAAGGCCCCCCATAGCTGCGAGGTGGTGGAGCGCAGGCGCAGGAAGCACACACGGCACCCCCAAAATGCAGTGGAGTGCAGCTCTCCAGATGCCCTAGGAAGCCTGCCAGAGACTCCCAGGATCACGCTTTCTATCCTTTCTTCAAACTCAGGTCCGAAGAGTTTAAATAGCTTGCCTCACATCACACAGCCAGCGAGCGACCTTTGCCTTCTGTTCAAGAAAACATTGTGCACAAGGGAGTACAGAGAAGAGAGCAGAAATCAAGGTGCAAAGAAAAAGGGGGAGAAAAAAAGCGAGGCAGGAGGAAGGCTCAAAACCATGAAATGCCAAACAGAAAGGACACCAACAGATGGTAGACTGCAGCAGCAAAACGAAACATAAAATAAGCAGGGATCAGATCAGAGTCCTGGTACACCGAAAGCCTCTCCACGCATTCCTTTACGAGCGACTGGATGCGCTTCATTAGGTACCAGCGAAAAAAGTCAGAAAACGTATAGCAATAAACGTGGCTAACACTATCTCACTGTCTTTGTTGCAAACACAAACACCATCCGCTTAGTTTGAAGTCATTCCTTCTTTCAAGGACCGCGTTTCTACCGAGGTGGCCCACAGATCCCAGATCTCTGTTTTCAATAATCCTCTCTCTCTCACTCAATCTCCACACTAACCAAGCTGTATGTTTCCGGCTAAACACACGGACCTCCTAGTCACCTAACTTCTGTGCCTCTGTAGGTATCTGTTTCGCTAGTGAGTGCTACACTTTTTCACTCAAATCTGAAAACGTACCTGTTCTACAAAAAAATTTAATCACTTTAATCACTAGCAGCACTGTATTTAAAGGAGACAAACAAGCGTGTGTTGACATCACGCGCCTTTGTTCCTTGGGTAAATATTCAAGGAGCCTCCGCCAGATCATGTCCTTAGGCTCTGAGGGCAGTAAGGTGCAGAGAGCACAGCCTCCCCACCCCCATATAAGAAGCACATTCCTGAGGGAATATCACAAATATAAATAATTACGCAAAACACTAAAGTATCATAAAGGCACATGACAACAGGCATACACTACAGAGAAAAGAACTTCACCTGAACGCCCAGAGATTTCTATAACAGGTGACAATTTATAAATGCACTCTTCAAATTTTACCCAGAGACACCACACATTTTTCTTTTTGTGTGTGTGGACTGAACCCAAGGCCTTTGCACTAAGCTATGTCCCCAACCCCTTCTTTACTCTGTCACTGGAGATAGGATCTCATTGAGTACCCAAGCTGGGCTCAAACTTTCCATACTCCTGCCTCAGCCTCCCAAAATGCGGGGGTTACAGGTGTGTGCCACCATGCCTGGCTTAACATTATACATTTTTAAGGGGCTAATTGCCAGGTGTTCTAACTTTACTGCTTCGAAAACATCTAATATTCTGAATAAAGTCATTAGCTAATTTTAATATGTGCATATAATCCCATAGAAAATAAACTAGTGTATAAATGTCCTATAAATGTCTCATATCATTAAAATAGATCATTTTTAATGACTAAGATTAAAATAGTCAAAATTGAAGTTTTAAAATGGAAGCAGGAGGGCAAGATGAATATTCGTGAGAAATGTTTATTAAAAACTGAACAGTAAAACTGTGAATAATAAAAAAAAGTTTCCTTAGTCTTTGCCATATAATTTAAATGGAAGAAGTATTTTTAATCCATCAAACATTAAAATACACAATGTATACATTTTAAGCTCTTGAGATGACATGTCATGTATTATATAATCTGTAAAATCCAAAATGAAAGTAAACTTTTAAAATTGGAAATGAAGAGACTAAAATTTTTATAAAATAGTATTATCACGTTTTAACTGAATATTATATCACAAGTTTGAAGTAAATTTATATCAAGATTGAAGCATCAAAATATATTATCTTTAAAGTTAGTAAGTATTCTGTCAAGTTTGACAGCCTATAACTAACTGTAGCTTTCAAAATTTTGGAAGAGAATCTCTTTAATAAAAGAAAACTTACCTGAAAGGTTCCTGTACAGTTAAAGAGATCAATGCAGAACTACTGGACTGAAGCCCAGAGGCTGAGGCAGTCCTGTCTACTCAGTCTCCCCTTCACTCCTAGGACCATAATGCAGGGACAGTACCTGCCTCTTTACAAGGCAAGTGATTCGCACTTACCAAACACTCAAGAAATGTTTGTGAACAAATGGACAAAGTGTAAGTTAATAGAAAAGAGTGAAAGTCATTGACATATATTAATTATCCAGTCCAGAATTATTGTTTCAAGCTTTGCATAATGCAGCTTCAATGGTGATATGATTAAAAGAGGGAAACAGAAAAATCAGGATTACAGACAAATCAGGAAAAAAGACTGAACCAAATTTAACCAACCATTTCAAAAGACTGTATTTAACATAATAGGGCACTTAAAAATATGTAAGATAAGGTTGCCCATTCCAGGAATGTCCCATTAAAGAAGATTTCCACTCAATTAATAAGGTCAGTAAGATGATAGACTCGTAAATGTTACCAGAGACATAAAGTTCAGTGAAAGCTCTGATAAGATAAAATAAGGTCCATCAGGGAAGAACCTAGGGAGAGTTCCTGGAGGAAATACAATCTAGTCTGATCCCTGGGGAAAAAAAGTGAATTTAAAAGGTGAATCTGATAGGGAAACGAGCAGCAACAAATGAGTGAAAACAGAAAGCTACCTCTGGAAAAGCAAGTGAACCAAACTAAAGCTTTTGATCTTTTGTAATAAGGAGAGAAGCAATATAAAAGCGAAACAAAACAGTTTCAAGGGCAGTCTTGGCCCACTCAGGGCGGCCTAAGGGAGATTTTCGAGAGTAAGGTCCCAAAGTTAATAACACACATGTGCAAGACACCACCATAATAGCAGGCAGCAGGGAGCAGAACAGAGAGCCCAAGAGTGCAAGAGCAAGAGCCCCTGGGTCTTTATTGCATAATTCTTATACAGGACACTATCTCATATTTACACCCGTATAAAGTGCTACAACCTGTACTGTTACATAACTGTATCCCACTGTGCGCCTGTGCTAGACAAACAGGGTCACATTCTCAGGCGACCTTAGAAGCTTTGAGCTTTGAAGCAGTCTGAGTGGTTCCCCACAGGCCACAATTCAACATACGAAATAGTACACACAAAAGTCCAAGAAATATAGACTTCACATAATCACATTAAGGTTAGCATACCTATGAGTTATAAAATCAAATGAAATGACTACTTACAAGGTCATTCATATTAGTTTGGCTGGCTGGATTAATTTCCTCTAAAAACTCCAAGACATAAAATGTGTATCTATCCATAAGATGGACTCCAATTGCAGGATCAGGTTGATGCTATGAAAAGAAGAAGAAAAAGTATATATTTAATGGTATCACTAAAGCAAAGGCTTAAAATAAAGTTTCCTTCTCTGTTAAACAAGTATATACTGATAAAGCATACAGAGTGATTTTTCAGATAGCTACACATGCCAAAACATTGCATTTACAGATGGAGAAGATGCACCTACCGAGAGGGAATCTTCTCCCACTTGGCTACTGGCCAGAGCCATTATGTTAGGAGAATAAAACCGCTCATACATGGATGCTCCTTGGCAAGTGTCAATAATGAACAGTAGCTCATTGTAGCTGTAAGAAAAGTGAAAACACCTTTGATAGGAATCATGCTCCTGATCAACTCTACAATACTTCCATTAGATGTTTCAGTCCTATCTTAGCCATTTCATTAGCTGCACATTTGGAGAGTCTTCAGTAGAATTCTCAGTAGAAATTTGGCATTAGGAAAGTTAAATCAACTGGGCTCGGTGGCACACAATACATAATGCCAGCACTCTAGGAGGCTGAGGCAAGAGGATCACAACTTTGAGCCCAGCCTGGGTGACTTAGCAATTTAGTGAGATATTAGAAAGCCAGAGAGAGAAAGAATAAAAGAGAGGGAGAGAGGGATGGGAGAAGGGAGGGGAGAGGAAAGAAGGGAGGAAGGGAGAGAGGAAGGAGGGTAAGAAGCAGCTGGGAGGACTGTGTTCAATCCCCAGTATAAGAAAAAGAAAAGTTAAAGGCACAATCCAAGAAATCAACCCAGCAGGGAATGGTGGTACTGTCACAAACTAGCTATGCCAAACTTCGTTCTCCCCTACATCTGTGTTATATGGAAATAAACAAATATTCAATTCAGCAACCACTTATTTGACACACAAACAATTCTAGAAACTGAACTAGATTCACAAGGAGGCAAAGACCTATGTAAACTACTGTATCATACTTGGCCACCACATTCAAAGGATTTAAAATGTAACCAAAAACTGAAAGATAAACAGGTAACTGGACTGGAATGTGATACTATGCTATTACAGATAGATGCTGAGCGTTAACAGTGTGCCTGACACCAGGCTGGGAATACAGTCAGCCCTGCCCTCCTACAGCTCACGGCTTCACACAATCAGAGCGCTCTCAGGGAGCTGGGAAAGGAGTGGAGGGAAAGCAAAGGAAAGCAGGTCAGGGAGAGGAGGAGCCCCACGTGGACGACAGGTGAGCACCATTTTATCCACCAGGGAAAGGAAGATCCATTCCGTCAGAGGAAAAACACCAGCTGTGAAGAAGTATAAAACCTTGGAAAAGGGAATAGTTGGCTGCAGCCAGGCTTGGAGTAAATTTAGGGGCCAAAGAGAAACTCTCAAAAGTGGGACAGGGCCAATTTGTAAAGCTCCATATGAAGCCTGGATCTTATCCATATAACTTTAAGGAAGTCTCCAAAATATTTCAGTGTTTGAATTCAGATTTTAGTAGAAGAATAACATCAGCAGATCTCTGTTTTACAATATGCTGGCGGCTGTGAAGGTAAAGGTAGGAAGGACACAGGTGTTCTAGGGCCTTTCCTTAGACACTGGGCCCAGGGACAGTCAATGCTGCTCCTAGAGAAGGAAGCACAGAATTCTGAACCACAGTAACCAGAAACGATAGAAGGCACAACCAATGACACACTGGTTTTGAGACAAAATCGTGGAGGGCCCTAAAGACCAGAAATATCTGAAGTTATGAGGGGCAGTACAGTAAAGCTCTGACCACTCCGGCGGCAGTCCCAGCTGCGGCACTAGTAGTAGCTCTGTAGTTTGGCAAGTGAACTTGAACTCTCTGTGCCTTGCTTTGCCTCTCTGTGAAAATGAGAACAATGATAGCTGCCTCAGAGTTGCTATTAATAGTAAATCAGGTAATACCCGTAAAACAGAGCTGCACTAACATGCATTCCATAATGTGAGCTACAGATAAGACATAACCAGTGTTCAGCTTCCTCAGCACTGCTGTATCTGCTCACACTTATCTTTCAACACAGGCAATTATTTATTTTGTGACACAGCTGTGTACACATTTCTCTCTTTCACTAGACTGTAAACACTTTGCAGGCAGAGAAAACACCACATTGCGCTGTGCGCCATATGCAGAGAAGGAAACCCATAATGTTGACGACTGGTAGTCAAGATAAAGCAACTCTGCTACCTCAAGTAACAAATAAGACAACTGCACCTTAAGAGGTCTTTACTAAGGATTGCTAACGAAGTATCCATAACGTGAGTGAAGTCACAAATTCTAATAATGATCTTAATTTCAACAATTTTTATGAATTAATATTATACTACTGTCACACTGGGACATGGAAAACATGCTTAAAAAGTAAGAAGAGTCGGTACAAGCTGAAAACAATCTCATGTTTAGAATCTCCATGAATAATCTGGTTGGGAACCTGCTGGAAAAGACTCTAGTTCCCTCTGAAAAAGACGTTAAATAAAAAGAGATGTGATTTTAAAACTTCAACTTTTTTGTACTGTATAATAGCTCTAAATTCTTCTTTAAAAAAAAAAAAACACCACAATGGAAAAAAAATAAATTTAAAAAGTGGAAAGAAAGAGTTAAATTAAGTTAAAATTTTATAAAATAAGAACTATGGATCTATCATTGAAAATTTAAGTATTAATCTATCTTATAAAAAGCAGTCACTAGTTAGTTACCGTCTTTTCTGCCACATCTGTTCAAAAGCATCTGCAAGTTCTATGTTGGTAATTTCTTCAGAATCTTGAAATTTCAAGAAACCATTTCCACCATGTCCTTGTAAAAAACAAATCAAGTAGATGCATTTTTGAAATGCAAATTCCATACATCCAGATATATAACTTATTCATTGCGATATTTTAACAGCATTTTTGTTTTATACTCTAAAGTATATACTGTGAAAACACACAATTAATTTTCTGCCATATGCACTCAAAAGAGAATGGCAGACTGTGTAAAAAACAGTGGCTATATCTTGTCTTTCTATCATTCATCCCAGAAGTCCACATTTATACTCTTTTATGAGTCCCATCAAATACCATCCAAATATTTTTTAGTGAGAAAAGAGCTAAAGACACAAGCTAGTCCCATGACATGCTAGTGCTATTCCCAGTGTACACTGCAGTTCTTACCTTAAAACCGACACTTTTGCTACAACAGAACAAGCCTGTGAGAGTGAGCCAGAAGTCTGTAACGTGTATTTGGTATGCACCAAAGAACTAGTTTGTGTGGACTCAAACATTAGTTGTGTGACTTAATGACTATGCCACTTTAGGGAAATCAGTTAACCTATCCCTGAGTTTCCTTAGCCATAAAAAGAGAAACATATCAGCAAGCCCATCACTAGCCTGCTTATATAGCTCCTTTGCACACATTTTTAAAAAGCATCTTCTATTGGGCAACAAAAAGGTAGGAAAAAACTAGAGTCTTCTCTGGATGCATGCAGGACACTGTGACATCACAGGTGGTAAGTGACTATGACCACTAAGAGGGGGAAATATGCCTCCCTCCCATTAGAGGCAGCCCTGTAGCAGGCACCTGTTTTCATCCAGAGCAACACAAAGGAGATTTCAGCTTCCACTTAACTGCAACTCAGTGTTGCACCATGCATCCACACAAGCATGTTTGTCAGCCTTGGATATCAGCACCTAAATCACCAAGCTGCTGTAGGATGAAATGAGTTAATACACAGAGCAGTCTAGGATACTGCAGGGATGTATACTAAGCTTGAAGTTATTCTTGAAAGAGTACCAAGAGAATCAGAAAAAGAAAGGAGTAAATCCTTTATTATATCAACTTACACTGAGCTACAAAGCTGTACTTCATTTTCTTTGCTCCAAAGCAAGAAATTGTCTTTCAATTTTCAGATAAGAAAAAAGGAAAATTTTCCTGTTAACTTTATTAATTTATAAAATTTACAGAGATCTTATGAAGCTGTAAACAAGCACATGACAAAGCACTCAGTAGAGGTTACTGTCTTGTCACGTGACATCTAAAAATTATCAGTTGACTGGAAAGCCCCCTAAAAAATCTGATCATTTGATCTATGTTCAGAATTATATAAATAGAGAGATACTAGTGATAAAAAATGAAAAACAATTGATGATGTCTTGGAATTCAACATAGAGTGTAAGCAATGGCTACCCAAGCAAGAAAGTAATTAAAGTTAAATAATATGTTAGAAACTAAGAATATGTGAACATAGAACAGGCGAAGATTAGAAGTGCCTTTGGGAGAGCAATTATAAATGTGTAACTCATACCAAGATGCTTCTCAGGGAAAAAGAGGAGCTATTAGTAACTAACTATCCCAGCAATAGAAGTAAACCAGGACTGTCCCAGGTAACTGGAGGCACAGGTCACCTTACACATCCAAAGGAAATCACTGAAGGAACTGATTCCTGAACCAAGACTAAAAATAAGGGGTGAGGTAGGCAGAGCAGAGTAACAGGGCATCATAAACAAAAGCAAAGTTTTAAACAAATGTTTGAGGACAAAACAGTCAAGTGTTCAGAATAGGAAAAGGTATAAGAACTGAGACTAAAGTTAAATAAATACTACTATAACTAAATCATAACATATACTATGAATAGTATATAACTAAATTATATTACGAGGCACTCAACAAAAAAACTACCACATCCCACATCTGCGGAGCAGGTTTACAATGCAATTTCATGAGCCTCACCCAGAACCAAATCTGAGTTAAGAATTTTGGGGCAAGGTTTAAGTATTTACAATCAATTAATCCTTATGCACACAAAAATTCAAGGCTCAATCAAAGGGAAATCATTACAAAGTTTTAAATAGAAGACAGACAGATGTGTAATTTCTATTAAACACTTTGGTAAGGTAACTAACAGTAGAACAAAACTGGAGACAGAGATGCTACAGCAGGACGCTAGGTAAAAGGTTAGTAAACATTACCAAGGCAGTAGCCAAAAGCAGAGAGACAAGAAAATAGGGATCACAAAATATTACAAGGTTGGGTATTCCTATTCAAAATGCCCGGGACCAAATATGTCTTGGATTTCAGACTTTTTCAAGATGTTGAAATATTTGTGTCTACATCATGAGGTATCTGGGGGCCAAGTCAAACACACTATTTACAGTTCATGTATACTTCAGACACACACCTGCATGTAACATAAATAAACTCTTAAGTCTGCCTGCTTTCTGACCACTGTCACATGAGGTCAAGTGTAGAATTTTCCACTTCTGACAAAATGCTGGTGTTCAAAACATTTCAGATTTTGGAATATTCTGGTTTTAGATTTTACAGTTTAGGAATGCTCAACTTGTATCATTTTCAAATATCATTTCAAGCCATTTTGTATTATAAGAATACAGAATTACATGACAAACTATGTTAACCAAAAAAAGCAATTCTTTCCATGGAATTTCTTTCCAAAAAACTTTCATTATATTTAAGTACATCTCTAAATTCTGAAATTACCTGTCATATAAATAAGAATATTGCTTCTATCATCCGAAAGAAGACGTTTTGACCTCGGAGTACTAGGCGGGATCCTCCCAGTTAACACTCGTAAAAAATTCTCCACCGTCACCTGAAAAAAGGAAAAACAGAACTAAAACCTGAAGAAATCTAAAAATTATTTTTCACTTTCAAAAACATTCCTTCTTTCTCTATGTATTACTAACCATACTGAAAATAAAACACCAAAGAACCAAAACCTAATTAAAGTACATCCATTAAAATATATATCACCAAAAAAGTTTCTATTAAAAATTGTTAAAAACTAAATAAAAACTACCTTAGAGAAAAAAAAGTCAATTATACATTTGAAACTTTATAAAGTATGCAAAGTATTGCCTTTGAAAATTACCTAAAAGTTTATAAATTATTAATCTGTATTAACAGGCAATTTTTTGGGAAGACACAAAATCTCAAAGTTAGTAAATAAATTCAGCTACATTATGGCAGGTAACATGTAGAACTACCGAGTCAAGTACAGATTAGTTATGAAAAAGAATAATTCCATAAACAAGTCCCCCAAATTATGTACCTTTAATTGCTTAATGCATTTTGTTGCTTAGATTGTGTTAGGAATATCTTTAATATGTACAAAATTGATAACACCTAAAACCAAATATCTAGCATTCCAAGATTCTGTGAAGGAAAATTTATTTTTACTTAAAGAGCATAAAATGCAAATTTAAAGATAACAGCTAAGTCATATATTATACCCATCAAGCTTTTCCACCCAGCTTACCTCCTGGACTTCTGAGCTCCTGGGTGTGACAATGAGCATGTCCACTTGTATAAATTGCTTGACTTACACTCTGACCACAGGACAGCAAATATAAGCTATTTTATCAGGGCTTCTTACTGGCTAATAAGGAAGGGAAGTTTTTGATCTACATTTTAAAGACTAAACAGCTAAAAGTCACACTCTGAGTGATACTGAGGTATTTGCCAAACACTGAGTGCAGGCTGCAGGCACTTGCCAGGTACAAGTGAACAGAGATGTAGGCCACATCCTCAAGGATCTTACACCTTAGGAAAACAGGGTTTGGTTTGATTTGGTTTTGTAATACTGGAGATTGAAAGCAAGGCATTCAGCCCCAGTACTATTTTTTGTTGTGAGATTAAAGTGCACAGTTGAGTTCAAAGTTGAAATCCTCCTGCCTCAGCTTCCCAGGGCGCTGGGACTATAGGCATAGGCTACCAGAGCAGCTGATATAGATGTGCTTTTCAAAATACTCCAAACATAGGTCTGGAAACTCAGAAGATATTGTGCCTCACTTCTGGTAGCCTAGTAAAAAGGGAAGTATTATCTAGGAAAAATTCACATTTTAAATACAGTCATAATCTATTACTTTTAAAAAGAAGTTCCGGAAGAAAATTTAACATAATGGCATTTTTAATTTAAATGTTTACTGTTACATAGTTATATATGCAGAAAAACACTGAAAGTAGCAAAAATATGGATTTTATGTTACTCATTATAATTTTGCCATAATTAATGTTTTCTAAAAATACTAAACTCAAAATTTTAGATCAAATATGAAAAACAAATAATATATTTCCTGTAAAAAAATGGATTCATGCCGGGCATGGTGGCACACTCCCATAATCCCAGCACTTGGGAGGCTGAAGCAGGCGGATTGTGGCAAATCTGAGACCAGTTTGGGCTACAAAGTGAGCCCAATGCCAGCCTGAACTGCATAGCAAAACCCTGTCTCCAAACACAAAAAAAAGAGAATGGATCTATGAAACCTCCCTATAAAGCTAGAAGAGAGAAACCAACATTAAGGTTTTTCTATCTTGGATACATATAAGAAATGTTCTTGCCATAATAGTTTTACTCACCTATTATTTTGTAATATAAACTCCAGGGACAAATTACATCAAGGCTCAGTGACAACTAGATGCTAAATTAAAAAGAATGAAACCACTGTATTCTTCCAGTGTCTTAAAGCTGAAAAGTAACACTTCAAAATGGTGCTAGATTAACCAATTTACCTCATAGCTTCTATAATCCACTTCTACGTCATCGCCGTACACGTTTAGCTCCATATTCTTGTGGCTAAACACGGTTGCTGGTTTGGGATTCCGAGGATTGCAGGCCATATCGTCCGCAAGCATCAGGACAATGTGGCTAGGGGTGGGGAAAACCAGCAAACAGCTCTTTAAATGAAATAAAAAGTTAAACTCATAGGTTTTATTGCTATCATTTAGCAACTATGTTTATAGTTTTCCTCATTAAAAATAAGTGTATTTTCAACCACATGAACTTCACTTATTTTTTTTTCTTTTATGAGTACATGTCTGCAGTACATAATGATCTTGCTCACTGTAGGGATTAGAACATGTACAAAACACATCTCAATTGCCCTCTTCATCCCCTCTTCTAATACCCTCTTTTATTTTTTTCAGCTACATATCTAAATTATTTTTTCATATTCTTAAGTAGTATAAATTTTAAAGCAGAGAAAAACAGCAATCTGGCATAAACCTAGCTACATAACTCTAAATAATTAGCTTAATTTTTTCCCCTAACAAAGTTTATCGTGTGCCATATGGCAAACAATAAGCCAAAGAAGATGCACCAGCTTCCCCAATTTTTTTTATTTTCAAGTAGAATGTGACATTCTCAAAACTTGTAAAGAATTTAACTTTCATCAACCAATAAAAAATGTTGAAGGGGCTGTGGGGAAAAAAAGGACCCCTTCTCTATTGCCGGTGGGAATGTAGACTGGTGCCACCACTGTGGAAATCAGTGTGGAGATTCCTCAAAAAACCAGGACTAGAAGTCCCATTTGATCCAACTATTCTCCTTCTAAGTATCTTCCCAGAAGAATTAAAAACATCTTGCAACAGTGATACATGTGTACTCAGGTTTATAGCAGCACAAGTTACAATAGCTAGATCCAACAATCCAAATACCCACCAACCGAGAAACACATAAAAAAGGATGTGGTCTTTCCATATAATGGAGTACTTCCCAGCCACGAAGAAGAATAAACTGGAGACTTTTACAGGTAAATGGATGCAACTCAAAAACATACTCAGGAGTGAAATACATCAAACCTGCATGTGTAAATGTCCTACTGTCTCCCTAGTGTGAGAAGCTGAACAAATAAATAAGATTCAAAATGTACAACTGATATTGTGAAATGGGAAGAAACTGTTCAACAGGAAAAAAAACTGCATGGGGGAAGGTGAAGAGAAGGAAAAGAAAAATATACATATATATACTCTATTACATATATATGTATGTAATAGTGTTATAGATTATATATATTATATGTAATATACAATGTAATAAAGTATTATATATGATAGTGAAGATAGTTACACTACTCATTTCTCTTATTTCATTGAAAAGGAAGGTCTGTGCTAATATTGCTTGGACAATTCAATGCCTATATCTTGTACTCTGAGTAAGTTAAAGATAACAATACGCAGTGTATTAACCATTGTTACTCTATTATCTTGTTTTGAAATTCTGTGTTGTTATAATTAAACTTTCAGTACGGAGACGTAGCACCCACCACACATGGAGCAGCGCGCAGTGCACTCGGATCACCCCTCGCCAGCCCACTCCTCCTCCTCCTGGCCCTGGCCATCATCTCAGCTGAGGGTTAGTTGCTGGGACAGCTCCCTGCTGGCTTCCCAGTTCCACCTACCCACTCTCAGTTCTATCTCCTGACAGCGTGAGAGTGATCGCCCCTACACATGTCAAGACTTGCCCATTTAAAGCTCTCCCAGGACTCCCAATATAATTAGAGTACCCTGGAAACTCGCAGACTCATTTAACCTTTGCCTCTTAGCCCCGGTGCTCGCACTGACTATGGTTCCTTCCACACTGCCTTTCTGTGCCAGAAACACGCCAAAAGCTTCCCACCTTGGGACCATGGATGAAATTCAGACTTCCCTCTAAACAAATGTGCAAATCATTCCAATCTCAGGTAAGGTCCTCTTTCTCATTATGTTTTATTTCCCATAGGACATTTATGAATCTATAATTTCCTCATCTCCCCCAGCATTCTATTAGAATATAGATTCTCAGAGGACAGTGCTTTATCTGTCCTGTTCTTCAGTTAGTAAGTCTAGCATAATAAATAATTTTAATAAATAATTTTCAATAAATAATTTTAAATGAATGGAATATTTTCATTTTTGCATGTAATTTTAAGAGAAAATTTCAAAATCTCTCATTTTGATCCTACTATGAATCAGGAAATTATTCTACCATACATTTAGATTTCCTAAGCATAAGGGAAAAATAAATGTGGTATACATAATTAGTTTGGCAGAAGATAGTAAGAAGAAAATGTTCTGCTGCATATGTTTCAAATACATTAAAGTTCAAAGCTGAAGCATTGTGATTTTTCTTAAAAATTGGCTAGATTTCTACTTTGAAAGTGTTCCAGTCCTGCCACATTCAAATATCAGATCTTCAGCTGATTCATACTCACGGAAGGCTGAACGTTATTCCTCTTAAAATGGGAAACATACCTTCTCATTTTTATAACTGAAGATCACTGATGCATACTGTTATTATAAATCATGTAAAACTGAACTAACATACAACTGTCAAATATGGATGAGTCTCCCACTAGGCTACGTTTTTTGTTTCAGGTTAATTTCATTTGATAAAAATGATTACCTAATTTACATACAATGTCAGTAACAATCATAAGGAAGTAATAATTTCAACTTAAAAATCATAAATTCAATTGATATTTTTCCTAGAGATAATTTTAAGCCTTAGTATCAGTACTATCTTGATTGAACATAATATATCCTAGAAATCATTTTATTTATAATAAGGTACATAAATGAGAAACAAGTCAGGAAACAGAATGGATTTTAAAGATTTAGAATTCCAACCACATATTCTAATTCACTGTTTCTACTAACTTAAAAAAGTCATTTTTTTTCCTGGAGAAAAAAAAATAACTAATTCAAGTGTTAAATATCTTGTATAATGCTACTTAAGTACACACACATAAGTAAACTACTTAAGTTTATGGTTCTTATAAAACTATGGAATCAAGATAAAATTATAAATTAAATGCTAACAAACCAGCAATAACATAAAAACATTTATCCCATTTGAAAAAGTGTTACTTTGTTTAAAAAAAAATGACTACCATTATGTCTAATAGAAGAGTAGGTCTGGTTCCACATTTACTTTTTTTCTGTGTTAACATTTACACTGCAAATATAATTTGATGATACAGGAAATACCAGTTCATAAAAGTATGCAACACTTCATAATTTTCAGCCTGTTTACTATTCACAACAACCGGATCTCACAAGAAACATGCCTGTATGCCAGTTAGGTCTTACGTGCCGACTCTTTAACATGTCTGTTTTTTTTTTTACTTTATTATCAGGTTAGCATCATACTTAATGGATATCAACTCTATCACTGTTGGAGTCAAGATAAAACATTTAATTTGAAGACAAATGAATATTTCTATAAGTTAGAGTAACAAATTTTTATATGTGTTATTAAAATTAAAACAATCCCCAAAATATAACTGATTCACATAAAATTATGATATTCTTACAGTCTGGCAAGTTTATTCTAGCATATGTGATGACTCAATTCACACTTTATTCTTTTCAAGCCCCTGAAAAACCTAATTCACACACCAAACCATACATAATATGGCCAAAAGAAAAAGAAAAAATGAGCACTCAAATTATATGGCAAGTTTGGTTACAGAATAGTTATTTATATGAATAATTTCTACATTTTTAAATCACTAAAAAACTGTAAAGATACATATTTATCTACTTCTTTACAAGTCATATGTATTTATTACCTTAAAAGTTTGGTAAATATGCATGAAGAATAACTTTTTCTTTTGGATAAAAACAAAAAACTACTAAGACCGTCCTTTACCACTTGTTGACATCTGATCTAAAATGAACAGCCTCACCATGTCTATACAAATTTTTAAAAACTATCTAAATCAATTTTACTTTATGAAAAATAAAATTTAAAACTTCTCAAAAAAGAAAAAAGAAAGAAAAAGAAACCCCCTTAGACAAAAATATTCATGGAAAGGATAATATGCACTAAAATGCTTCCCCACTATCATGTCTGCTAAGCGCTGCGTTTCCAGCTAAACTTCGCATTGTGGAGGTGACGCCTTTCTTCACCTGCGCCCCTAAAACCCTTCCTTAACCCAACCTGAAATAGTAAATGATGGGTAAAAAATACATCTCCAATAGATAAATAATTTTTCACTATCCTAGACCATTAAAGTATGAAATTTCAAAAACTGTAGATTTTTATTTATAATGGACTGGTAGTACTAAAATTTTTCACCAAATGAAATTCAAATTATTATATTAGTAACAATATTTTAAACTGCTTCCCTAAAAGTCGCACTATATTCTTTAGGGATGCTCCTCATAAGATAACACTACCTAGAACATCTTTAGCCACGGAGCTAGGATTACTAGGCTTATCTTCAGTAATACCATCAACCCCCACCAGAAGAGCAGCTAAAATTAAAGCAGCAGAAAATGAGGGTCACGGGAATCTTTGACGCCCTCTTAAACCTCGCCCTCGGTCTCTGCCTCACAGATGTTGTTTCTTTTACCCATTGACACAAATTATTTAGTACACTACCATCTACTGCAGCAATGTAATGACTGCTGGACCAAGAAAATGCAGCAGATCAGCTGCTAATCAGTAGCCTGATACCAAAATATTTTACTTTTAGGCTTTTCTTCTTCCACATCCTAAAATACCTCCAAATTAATGACAGCCCCCACTCCATCACCAGCCCACTGCGAAACTATTCTCAGTAAATCTGCTGATGACAGATGCTAGGACATCAAGATATTCTCAGTTACGTTCAACTTGCCAAATGCCACACAATCAGCATTTCTAGAGTCTATAATGCCAGGTACTTCATCTTCATATTATTACAAACAAAAACTCAAAAAAGCTACACTGCAGACAGGTAAACACATCATCATACTGCCAATTTACATGTGAGTAGCTAGCCAGCTCACACATTTAAAGTCCTGTGTGATTTAGTATAATAGTAGCTAACATGAATAAGTACTTAATATATCTAAAGCACTGTATTAATAAGCAAGCATATTTCATGCATTATACATTATTCC